TGTAAATTAAGACAGAATATAAACCAAAATTCTGACCAGCAGTGTGAGTTGGAAACAAATAGAATAATCTTTCAGGAGACAAGATAGCGAAGGCACTTGAGCAGAGGTTTATGAAACAATTTTCTACCTTACTTTACCTAAATTATTCTGATTGTCTTTAATTTAGCGACGGTTATTTGTTTAATTCAGTGAATGATCAGGTCATGACGTCACACATTTAGAGCACCTGGGAAATGCACTGCTGATGGTGGTGGTAAAAACAGCATAAAAGGGAAATGCGCAAACTAGGAAGGCAATTTAATAAACAAATTATCGATTTTTGTTAAGGGCAAAATAGAACAATTCGAAAACCGAACTGTAGTTTAGAAAAGAACAAGCCTTGACGTGCAGTTTACGCAAAAAATAGCTGACTGTATGTCGAACTAGCCGTGGGAAATTTCCTTGCAAGCTGGTTCACACGTTAGGTAGCCTTACAAATACACAAGTGTAAATCAGACTAACCGCTGCATCGACTGTTACGCAGTGCCTCGGCATTTCTGGGCTACGATTTCCAGGATAGTTTATGGTATTAAGACCTTAAGCAACAGGTGCAAAACTAGTTCAACACAAGAAATGGCACGCTTCATTTGCTTCCTTGTAGTTGCAAAAAAGATGATTAAATGTCAAAGAAGCTCTTGTCACATAAAGCAGGAGTTTGTGTTTAGAAAACGCTGAATAGGGAAGTTCGCGTTGTGTTAATTTTTTGCTAAATTGCTCTGCAAGCATCCCATCAAGCAATCCCTGCTTCATTGGTTTTTTTACGGTAACGAGGCGACATTTATTGGACAGATCAACCTTTTGAAATACAGTGGGCCTTCTGATGAGTACCTAATTTTGCACAATTTAGTCTAGACACTGGAATCTCCCTGCCTAGCAATTCGCTAGAACAGGCATTGTGTTCCGCATGCGTTTCAGGTAGTCGATTGAGCGTGTTAGTAAGGTTTAGGCGCTTGCCGACGTGGCGATTGGTGTAGGCTGGACTTGGAAATATTAAATTAAACCTGGTGCATAAATTTGCTTAGATTTCCAGGTAAAATAGTGTATAAGGCCAATTTTGGACTTGATTACTGTGAAGATCACTAGCAGGTTGCCTCAAACTAGACTGACCGAATAGGTCTTGTAAAAGCGTTAGGAGGAGGCATCGACTGTCGCGCCTCTAGTTATTCAAAAGCAATTCTACACAATGAATAGAAATTAATGCTATATTTACAAATACCTCTGCCTTGGTATTCCGGTTAAGGGTGACATTAAACTAACAATTTGTTTAAATCAATAGATATGAGAATCATGTAATTGCGTTGTTTCAAACTTACTGGAACCGATGGGATGATTTTTTTTAGATCCAAGCCAGGGCTTCGCGATTCGACGCAGTGAATTCGTGGTAGGTCATTGAGGAAACTCCAGGATGGCGAAAAGGGGTGGGTCCACGTGTGCGCTACTGTCCACAGAGTGGAACAGGCCTATGAACAGTTTAGTCCCATCCAAAATAATTAGATCCGGGTCTCTGGCTTCGTTCAGTTTGGTGCACCAATCACATATGCCCCTTGCTGGAGACGTTGACGCGCGCATTTTATGAAAGTGTTAGTGACCAATAAGCGGCCGACCAATGAACTCGTGTGCGGTCAGTGACTGAACGTACGGGGGCGGTCAAACAAATTGAATTTATGTCAAACAACTTTGGCGTTTTATGTGATTAAGCTTCTTCATATTATCTTCCAGTGCAATCAGACCATGAAAGTAATTTCTCATTTCACAAATCCTGTATGAATCACTGAGTTAAAAACTTTGCTCAAAATCAAATAAACGTTGATCACGGTTATTTTGGTAAATCTAAGCATATTTCACGGAACCTGCTCCTTTCAGAGACGCTCATTATTGCTGGTAAACGAGAAGTCGGGTTGGCAGTTTGCACGGCAGTAGAGTGAAATTATTTGCGTGGTTAACACCTCTGCAAGATAATTTGCAGAAAAACGATGCTCGGCTGTTTGCTTCAGCCATCGGTCATTATTTCACACAACAGTTTTTATAAGTTAGGAGTTGTAGGCAGGCAGATTTTCACCTCCAAACAGTCGTTTACAGTTTGTTAAAAAACAAATGCACATGCTTTGCGGAACACGAGGTCTGCAGAATAACTAACAACCTGAAAATTTGTAAGTGGTTGCAGTTCTGGAACGTGCATTTGCAGGGGCTATAAGAGTTCGGTGGTTCGAGTCCTGGCCACACAACGCCTAATGCTTCGTCGAACGTGTACATCAATGTGGGGAGTTAGTCAGCTTTGCTACCAGGCTACCAATTGGGTCTCTGAATTGGTTTTATCGTAACAACTTCCCCTGTTGTTTCGTGGTATGGATGATATTCTGAGACTGCCAAAAATGAACCTTTTGAAATGCTGGCCACCAAATCCAGGGAGATCCCAGCAACGGGGCATCCGATGCGTCGCAGCTCATTCCAGAAAAATCTCCTGTTTTAAAAGTACCAGTTCTTTCCCACATGTAAGCTCTTAATGGGAAGCTAACAAAGAGTTCCAAATGCTTCACTCAAAGCATCCTCACTATTAATCTTCCTTGCAGTTTACTTTTTTCCTGGTTAGTATCATAAGCGACATTAAATGTGCCTTTAAAATGACCTTACCGTGTGATTAATATCCGAAACTAACCAATCGTGTTGCAAATTATCCGTTATACGAAAGGACAACTGAAGTCTTAAATAGGATTTCGCGTGTTTTGCTAATTACGCTCACAAATCATACAGAACAAGTAACGAGTCTGAAGGTTATGACCGTCACCGTCAACGAATGCCTGAATAGTCATTCACAGCCAAACTTTCTCAAATAATAAACTCGATCGAGGACTAGGGCACACCATGGCTACCCCAAAAGGTGATCAACGCAATTCAAAATCCGCGGTGGCAGCACCGTTCGACTAAAAGGGGAGCAGATCTCTTCTGGTGTGGCTAAAAGCCCCACGACGCGCTTGATAAATGAACGAGCAGTCATGGTGGATAACGGGCACATTTAATAGTAGTATTCTGGTTAGCACTACTCGCGCTGTGCTTCAGAGAATCGACTCGAAATCAAAGGAGAATCTGTCATTCATGTCTTAGTTCTGATGTCCCAGGAGACAGCGAGTAGGCCTATAGAAATTTCGTTTGTTAAGGAAATATGGCAAACCGATTTTGATTGTAGGTCTACAGTTTCAGAACCTGCGTGAGTTTCATTAGCAAGAATTGCTCTACCCAAAAAGGGTAATTTTTATTTTGTGCAGTCAAGTGGGAAGCCTCTTTTTTGCGATCGTTTTGAATGCTTTAAATGAATATGTATAAATCTAATGCAACATCTACGCGTTAGTCTTGATTCATCCATTGTTTTGTTGTACTAGCTTTGTTGAAACACTCTTCGAATTACATACTGGAAATTGACCTGCTTAAAAAGGTTTTCGTTATTCTTCGATTTCCGCGAGTACATCTGCTGGCGTTGCTGATGTTGTTTATATCTGGGAACAAACAAAGATGTTTTAAGTAGCAAGGAATGACCGTTCAGCAGAACAGCCAGCATGAAGTCGAGGAACTGCTTCAAGGTTGATATCTCTACCGTTATTATTAGGGAGAAAAGACCACATGGTTCCAGGAGGCACTCTGCTGGCTGCACTGAAGCCTAATTAAAACAATTTCAAACAATTTTCGCGAGGTCAGGCCGATTCAAACACACTTTTGTAGATCTTGGTGAAACAAAAATCTAGGTTTGTCGCCACATCACATGCAATTATGATTTTGTGACAATCAAGCTGTGATTTTACTGTCACGGATTTACAACTTCACTGACGATCTTAAATAGGTAGAAAACCCTTCCCATTGGTGACAGAACTTCTTAACCTCTCAAGGCAATATGTTCATTAAATGGCGGTAATTGTCCTTAATTACCAAAACAAGTGGGTTCAAGTAATTTTCCTCAAAACGTCACCATAAAATATCACAAAGAGGCATTAGTTTCTGACCACAATAAAATTTTACTCATGCGTTTGGCTTCGTTGAGTGCCCACTACTTAATGAAACCAGCGACCTAACAGTAAGCAACGAGCTGGCCTGTGGTACAACTTGTTCAAACAGGGCCGTTTTCTGGGAGCAACCCGTCAAGCAATCATAAAGCGCGCCTGAAACTGGCGTAGGCAGATTTTAACGGAGCAGGAGCACTGTCAATACGCGCAGAAAGGCTCTAGCGCCGTTACACAGGCACCCAACACACACACACACCGCCGATCCATCGCCCAAAAGGCCTGACAGAAAAGGTCTGCCCCACACTGGGCAATTATTTCCGGAATCTCGGCGTGATGCAACGTCAGGATGAGTCACCAAGGCAACAAAAGCGCAAACGTCACAACCGCGGATAAGAACGAAAATTCGGTAGGTCAAAAATCTGGCGGCTGCAGCGCTCGAAAAATCCCCAGCTTGGCTGCCATTTGTCAGACTTCAATGTTGTGCCTCGCCGGTTAGATATACCGCAGTTAACATCCTACGGAAAAGACCTGAATGCAGCAATCGTTTGTCAAATCGCTGAACGCATTTTGATGTCCGGGTACTGCAACAATGTTTTACAAACACCCAATGTCGGCAAACTCAGTGCCTCGCTTTTTTTCACTTTCTCAATCCGACAGCCATTTTTTTTCGCGTCATTCGTACTAAAAAACGGCGCACACGTACGACCACCTGCATTTTTTGCACATCGTAGCCAGCCGTGAAAATACGCAAGGCGCTTCTAACGTCGCCTTGCTTTTAAACGTTTTATTTCCTCCAAATATTCTAAGTTGACTGGCATTAACGAAAAGGCCTAAGAGAGGAACAGCAGTGTTAGGAATCGGTGTGTCTACACCACACGAATTCTTCGTTAATCAGAGACCACGTACAAAAGTGATAATATACACGGTGTAAAAAAGACACAAATCACAGTGCGCATGCGATTCCACCCCTCAGTCTGATTCGCTGCTTGAGAGACCAGCAAGTTCATCCTCGTCGAGGTTAAGGGCTTTCCAAAACTGTATTGTCATCTAGGGGTAAAAAATACGCTGTTTAATTGGATAAGGGAAGAGATAAAATCGATTGAATTTATCAAGTCCAAAGTATGGTCTGACGCCTTACACCGGCTTCAAGCCCGATCTCCGTAAGAACTGGGCAACGGGGGAGTACTGCACATTACCCACTGAGCCACCAAATAGCTGTCAAAGTGGCCTTCACGTGGATACCCTGACTGAAGCAGACGAAGGGGGCTTATGCTCATGGCTCTACAACAGTTGGTCACTAGGCGCCCAAACATGCGTGCGCGATCTTTGTGATGGGGAAGCGATAGGCACAACCGCCGGGCTGTACGTGGGTGCACAGCAGCCCACAATTTCACCTCTTGCGTGCAGCACAGGACAGCTAAGAAAAAGCCCACGACTATGGATTATGGGTAGGTGAGTGTGTGGGTGTGTGTGTGTGCGTTCGGCGTGACCACGTGTGTAAATTTAATCTGGTTAGAGGTGCATTTTTTCCCTCTAACGCAGCACACTTTCAGCTTCAAACACGGTTTTTGGGGCACACAACAGGTACCTGCCGAGGGTGAACAGGATAATCTACAGGTAAGCGTTCCGTGAATTCGACCGCCGTGAGTGGATCTGGCAGGTCAGAGCGAACACCGAGTAGGAACTGAAGCTCAAAGGTGGCGTTTTAGCCAGAGGTGAGAATGACGTACTCAAACTGCAGCAATTCCAGGTTTCAAATTGAGTATGGTGACAGCGAATGCCAAAGCAGATTTGGTTGAGGATTTGGCAAATCGATGCTAACATGTAGAACGAAGACACGATAAAATTGGTTATATCCATCGATGGAACGATACCAATTTCCATGGTTTGTAACAAGGAGCACGGCAATGTGAAAAAAGATCTCCATATCCAATGACCTCATATTAACCAGTAAATCGAGCAAAAAGGTCAATGATAACACTCGAAAAGAACCCGTTTTAAATGAAAGCTTTAAAGCCACTTTTCTGGAAACTGACTGACATGAGCCCTACACCAAGTCAAACGACCTAGGTAATTTACTTTCCCACCCTAGAATGGTAAGCGAGAAAGTTGTGTAGGTTATTCCACAAGGTACACCACCATCGCTTATCTGGAAGACCTGTTGCTGACGCGATAAAATCGAAGTCTTTAGACATTCTTCGGCCAAAGGCTTCGAGGAATTACAACCACGACGCACAACAAGGTGAAGATAAGTGGAGAAATTTCGGAGGACAAAAAAAAACCCATAAGGAGTGTCCGTTTTACAGCAACTGGGATTACAAAGGGATGTGAATTGCAAATTCAAAGGCTTTCAAATCACTAAGAGTGCTACATAAGTAGAATTACATAATCCACTCCTCACTTGATAATACGTGGATGTCTATCTCAAGGACATCACATATCGAGGCTGATAGGTACAGATCGTTGCGAATCGCGTTTGTTCACATAGGCTAATCTGATCACCCCAGCCTCCAACACAGGGTCCCCTTTTCGCAGCATGTCGCCAACCGCGCTGATTCTCAACCCCTCCTCCCTCACTCACACGAACATTTATCCTGGATTATCCTCACACACCGAAGCTATAAATACACACGCGTAAACGCCACACACGACACCAGGTTGGTTGAGTTCTAGAGTAAACGTCTATTTCCATGTCCTCTCCGGTCTTTTTCTTCATCGCGGGTAGCAGGTAAGCGCAATCGGGCCAGGGTTAACTCACTGGCCCCGGCGTGGTTCAAGACCACATGCTGGGGCCCACAACAATTGGTAACCCCGACGTTGGACAAACATTGACCTCCAAGTGGTCGAAACATCCACCTTCTCTGTATTGACGTTTGGCGACCAATTAGTATGATTCCGTACCGTCACTCAGTGAGGATTCATTTCTGGCCACAATCACTTCCGAACGCCGCCAACCTCTGGGCAATGCCCTCTGACCCCCGGTTATTCCAAAGGGCATTTGAGTAGGCGCATTATTTAAAAAGAGGGCTAATAGCAAAGCAATCTGAACCTCTGAGGTTAGGAATAGCAAAAAACTGAATTTCGTGACTGAAAAACTATCTGAATCAGACCTCAACAAGTAGAATACTAACCGGAGGTAAATTAATCTAAAACCACACTAATTAATTACTACAAAAGCAACACCATTTTAATTAGTGTTTGGGAACATAACTTCAGACGGGTGCATTAATCACTGAGCGAGACAAGTCTTCCACAAAACACACATTCTAAGTCAACAAGAAGAGGCCCATACTTGGAGTGATTGATGAGTTAATTTTTTGCGGACACAAAAACAATCACAGCAGTGCGAGGAGGAGAGAACACTGGGACGTGCATGAGTCGGGAAAAAGCCAACTTCCTCGGTGTTCTGAGGGACCTACGAACTGCCCAGGCTGGACAGCGGATGCTTCAGTCAAGGCTCGTTTCTCTCTGGCGGAGGTGCAAAATTTGGACCTGCACAGCAAGCCCCACGTCCCAAATTCGATGTGCGGACGTGCGATGCCTACTTTGGTAACCACGCATGAAGAGAAGTAATCTTGTGCGGAAAAGCACTGACGGATATGCACAGATGCCTCAAACTTGTAGCGATTTCATCAAACTGGCCTAACTAACGCAGCACAAACCGGACATCTGCCCACTAGCGCTCGCCATGTGTGTCTGTGTGCCTGGACAAATGACTGCTTTGAGCTTGCATGCACTCCGGCAGTTCGCGAGGCGCATTGACAAAAACCAAGACGCGCAACGTATGGCGGAACTTTCGAACATCTGTCCCTGCCGAACCGACCAAACACGCTCCGCCTCCGAAGAAAGCGAACCAACTGACACCGCTTGCACAGACACTCCCGCCCACTGGTCTTTCCTCTGTGTCATAAATCAAAGCGACACCACAATAACAGTGTCGAAGCGATTAGGGCCTGGTGTGAAACTTATTCGATACAGATTTTGAAAAAAAAAGTACTTTGGTACGTTAATGGAAAAACGAGGGAACGATGCTTGCGCCGGTGGATAGGATGTGTGCAACTTAGTAGGATCGCAGCGAAAGTCCCAGAAACAAACCATAAACGGGGCCTCATATGTGCAAACATTCGGATCCCAAGAAAAGCTGTTCACTTGCCATTAACGAATCATAAATAACACCACATTGGTACTTGTGTGACGGGCATGTCCAAGTTTATGGAATTTAAACGAAAACACAGATTTGAGAAAGCGTCACTGAACCGTAACTCCGCGTTTAAGTAACCCAGGATAGGACGTTTAAATGTCCTTTTGCACATGCTATAACGGTATCGCACTCTTCGCAACTACACATGTAGCGGATTAACAACGATCGCGCCTGAGTGAACCCTGGTTACCAACCTGACGGTGACAATGACTCATCCCCTTTCATTGGTTAGTGTATCAGATGCCCGTCATCCGTTCACTCATCCACACACTAAGACACTTGGCTGGCGTGACGTTAATAAACGGTCGTGTCCACTGTCACCTCTCTTCTCTCCATTCTCGGGTTGTTACGGGCTGTTAACTAGAGGGTTGTAAGGTAGTGCTTGGACCTCAAGCCACTACACACATATGCGAGGTTGAAGCAAGCGATTTGCACATGCCACAAACTCACCTTGTGGTCGTTAGAGGGGTTTGAAAGTGGGTTGTAACCAAATGTAGTAAATACACGAGGAACGCGCACCTAACTTGCGAGTTACCACCGTGGTACGTCAACACAATCCCACTGTCCAATGATGCCCTTAAAACAAACAGCTACCGACATTAATAGCCTAATGGTGCTTCTATCCGATTTATTCCCAAGGCGCAAGTAACAAAAAAAACGATGACTCAAGGATAGGGGTAAGTGAAGTAGGAAAAAAGGAGACAGATGATTCGATCATGGAAGGCGTCAGGAGTCTTAATAGAAGTGACCTGTATTAATTAATCATTAAAAAGGGCACGTATGACGAGGCGTGCGAATGCCTGCTGGCTTGAAATGAAATCCGAGGCCTGATTATATTGCTCTTGGCGAAAATAAACGATTTTACTAGCGGCAAAAAGATTGTTAGTGAAGCAATGCGCGAGGACTAGTCAGAATTTGATCCCTATTTCTCAGGCAGCCTGTCAAATTACTTCAAAATGCTAGATTTTGTGCACGTACTGCCGATGCTGCTGCTGGTGTTAGAGCCCATCTGCTAGGTCGATAGTTACTTATAGTGGTTCCCCCACTTTTGCTGAGAGCGCCAAATTCACGCTTCAACACTTCGGAAAACTGGAGTGAGTCGGGAAGCAGGAATGAGAGTATACACACATCGTGGTTCTAAAACCGAGAATACAACAAGAAACCCCAATGCCAAACTAATTAATTGGTGTGAGCAAATGCATGTTGAGTTACCAAATTGCGAGGTTAACATGCATTTAAATAGACAGACATTGGCCAGATGCTTTAAGGGAAATTAGAATTGGGAGTTCAATCGAGCGAACCAGTGAGACTAGGACAGATTAGGTAATAGAGCGGATGAGTCATTTTAGATCAGAGGAAGTTTCAGCGGTACAGCGTTGTCACCACTGCCCGAGTCTAAGTGTCTTCCGCAACTTTCACAGGTAATAGCGGAGAAGAAAGAGGTGTATTAGAGCATTTTTTGACTCGTGACTTCACTTCCACCGCAAAGAGCCAAACGGCATACTGCAGAGGCAACAGGCGTTCTTGTTAAACACCGTGGAAGGTAGGTGCAGATTTCTGATACAGGAATGTTGTATGCTGGATTTTTTTGAGACTGGTAGGTTGAAGTGATTAACTGATCACGCCATGCTCTCTCGGATGGTGCATTAACGGACGAGTTACTACAGCAAGACGTGCCAAGTCACCGTAAGTACGTTCCTGACAATCTGATTGGCTGGTTTCTTCACCGAGCGAGAGAAAAAGCGCATTTGAAGAAATTGTGGCACTGATGATACCTACGGACGTACACATGAAGACCACAGAGACTAGTTTGGTTAAAGAAGTCGATGTGATAAGCACTAGCTGTTTAAAAAAGATTTTAGGTTCGAAACACGTGATCATGCTGAACGCAGCCTAACGATTTTTGAACGACTGCCACGACACAATTTACTTCCATCAGGTGATCAACAAACAGGATCGAATGCTCTCAAAGACCATCGTGATTGGGCGCTGAGAGAGGGGTGCACACGTGGCTGCACGAAATACTAATTTTACCCAACTGTCCCAGAGGTTACCTTAGAAACGTCACCATCTTTACAGTCCTAAGTTGTCCTGAAACTCCGATTTCTACTACTAAGCAAGCCTAGTTTGATTACGTCCTGCCACTTCGAAAACCAGGCAACCTATGCGATCTTAGCCACCATGGCGAAAAATTATCAGTTTTCACCTCACAAATCAATATTTCGGGCCTTCATTAAGGATTTTGGGGAAAGATATCGTGAGTACAATTATGACTTTGTTATCTGAAACACGGATTATGCGGGAGAAGGGCGTTTATGCTTCTTAAGGGGACATAGCCAACAAAGCTTGGATGGCGTCCTTTAAGGTTATACTACAGACCTCAGAAAAGTCGTCCACAGCAAACACGCATTGACAGAAACGCGTCGATAGTTGGCATGGTAGATTTCACAAGCAGCTAAAATCTAACCAAATTGTCTTGAAGAAAAATAGCCACTTTCAGCACCAGACTGGAAAATCGACAACATAAGGATGCATTTTGTGTGTAGAGTTTAACCTAAGAAATGACCGTTTCAGCAAACACGAGCACACGAGCGCTGGCACGACGGCTCAAATTCTAGAAGCTGGGGCGTGAAAAATTTGATTCGTCAAGGTGTAGATGAGGTCGGCGGTGTGGCTGAGAGAGCGAGCCAGGCGTGTGCTGGGATTGTTGGTCAGCCTCGCGACAAAAGCATTCGGATACAGTGATAGAATGATCGCTTCCAAATTACGTGCAATTTGACAGTCCCTGCCCGGAATTCGGAACTGCAGGCGTCATAAAAAACATGTGGCAATTGAATTTTAGAGTGCGGAAGAGTTAAGCGAAGTTAAATGAATGCCATTCGAGGTTCGAAAGGGAAAACAAACGGCAGCGATATTTACTGGTGTTTGTTAACTAGTGACATTGTCGGGAACATTTGGAGAATTAAGCGAAAACGAAGATATTCGATACACACACGCATGGGTATAAAAGACTATTTGAGAAGAGTACCCCTTAAACGAAAGTAACACAACATTTGGAAAGTCGAGATTTAACCTGACAGCAAGCACTTCGGATTAACTTTTGAAGGCAGGCCTCAAGGCGTTTTCGAAGGATGTAAAGCAGAAGGGAAGGCAACCAATCAGCGTAAAGGTCACGCAAGGCACGCATCACGTCCCCGCATGGGTTCAGGTGGACAAGAAATACAAAATGCAGGAGCCAGCTAAGCACCACCAAGGCAGGCAGTGACCCGATTGAAGTGGCGCCACGGCAAGGTTACACAATGCATCAACGAGTTAGACAAACACGAATGAAAACTGTACGAGCGCGAACGATCTAATACATCGGGTGAGAAGTGATGCAAGTGACAAGAAGCCCACTACTCAGATTAGGCTTGTTTGGTTTACTAGGAGGTGCGCTCACGTGGTCGCAATTAGAGGTGCCAGCGGGTGACTTGGACACTTGTGTATTCCCTAACACATGATACTGATAGCCGAGATATGCCAAACACGACTGACGTGGATAACCGACAACCGACAGAGCTTCGAAAAAATCAAGGAAGTTAATGCTGCTAGGGACAAAAGCAACGTACCTGCTCGGCTACTTTTCGACGCTCGTCATGGTGCATGCTGGTGGCTTTTGATCGCATTTCTAGAAGCTTAGGAAAAAGTTCACCGAAGGCATCAGCGTCTTTGTTCTCTCCACGATTGATAGAATTGGATGATTTTGGCTTAGTTGGAGTCGTAGGTTTAATCAGGTTTTCAGGCTTGTCGACAACCTTGTTTGAAGCTAGGGAGAAAATTGCTACCTATGTTTACTTAGTAAAATGTCTTATCGAGGATAAAAAACGGGGATCAATTTGGACTCGCAAAACAACTAGCACATTCCGGTGCGATCCAGAACAAAATTCGTAAAATAGGTTCAAGTTGCAATCTAAAATGACGTTATTTAGACCTTAACATGACTGGAGTAAATCATACATTAGAATATTAGACGAGGGTAACGTAAATGTTTACTAGATACGAAAATACTAACTACCGGAATTATGGAAAAGGGTGCTAATCCACTGATGGATGTTTTGGTTATCAAAAAGGTCTCAATATTTCACAATGTTACTACTAAATTCGTAGTAAGTAATAGAGACTTCGCGTGAAGGAATTTTTATGGAGTCAATTAGTCGGTAGGTAATCACCAGAGGGTTGCTTACATTTGAGTTTGAGGCCGGGCCAGTGGTGCGCTGCGAGAGCAGACTTCAACCTGGCTGTTCCGTATTCGTCGCCTAAAGTGTTATGAGAATTCCAACAGCAAGGCAGGCAACCAAACCTTCTTCGATGTCGTCGGGAAGGGGGGAAATTTGAACGACCTCGCAGTGATTCCTCGTGGCCTCGGACACAATACGCGTGCGGAAATCGTCCTCTGGTAGCCGGTCGCACACGAGCAGTTGCACTGGGATGTCACCTCCGTCTTTTACTAGCTTCAGCCAATCACACACAGCATCCCAGCTTTTTGGCTACAAAAAAGGCGACCTCGTAATTGGTTGAAACCAAATAAGACACTACTTTCCACTAGGTTTAACCTGTGCAGTAGTAATAACAGAGGCAGCCAGTTTTTTCCATATATTATCAGAACAAGTGTTCAGGTTAGTTCTTTGACAGTGTACAAATCACACATAACCAAATAGGTGAACATACCTCGCCTGCGTCGAAGCAAATAATAAATGCTTCGGCTTCTTTGAGTGGAGGTTTTGAATCTGCGTTTGTGATTAGCTCTAGGCGTACTGAAGCCGTGTAGTACTTGCAGTCGATTAGCATGCATCCTTCGCCACCACTACCACCTGAGGAAGTGAGTTCTTAAGTATGTCGTCTTGTACAGAGAGGCACGTACCAGTGAACACCATGTTGGCAATACCATCTGCGTGGGCACTCAATATATAGGCACGAGGAATCGTCGACATTGTGAACTACAAAGAAAGCTAGCATAAGACAACTAGAAAACACAACTGGCGCAGAGAAATCCCTAAGGTTCACGTAGCACCCATTTCCAAAAAAAGACTTAATGCACGCGTTATTAACGATTGCGTGTAAGCTAAGTTAGAAAAAAAGGCAATAAACAAAGGATTTTGCATGGAAATGGTAACACATAGCTACGGACACAACTGATATGGAAGAACGTGCACTAGTGGGAGCAAATAAATGAATGCCAGATAAATTGCATTTCAGAGGTAAATACAAATACAGAAACAAGTGATGAGGCCAATAAACAAGGCTAAAATAAGTTAGATATCAACGAAAAATATTAGCTGTACCATACTTTCTCGGTCAGTTTATTTCCACTCTTAAATCAACAGTCAGGGTATATCAACGAAGAAGAGCATTACTAGCTCGTGGCAAAATGTATTAAGCATCTCGAAAATAACGTGCTACACGTTTGTAAACAATGATTGAGGTGATATCAAAAGGTAGGATTCCAAAAATGGTACCATTTACACCTATTTTGACTTCTGTTGAATCAAAACAAAAAAATAAACTTGTGTTTGTTTGTCCGACTTTAAATGCAAGAGCTTAAGCCATAGTAACTAAATTCCCATAGTGATACAATATATAGCAGTTACAAAAATAACACGCGGAGGCAAGCACAAACCAGATAGATGCCACTTGAAGTGTTCAGTCAAAATGTCTGAAACAGTTTTAAAGAAGACAAAGTGAAATAAGCACAGCTGCGGGGTGCGGCGACGTATGCATTCGTATTTATCTTATTAGGGTTCGGTTATTCTTTAGCAATGTGGTGTGGTGTGGCGTCGGATTAGGGCGCAGACATGTTGGGCCACCTGGTCTCAGCCAACCCCGTGTCTCTCTGCGAT